TCTGATCCGAACGGAGCTGCAACCAGCATTGGCATAAACAAGGCATTGCATCGGAGGCTGCTGCCAGGGTTTGTTTTTTGTCACTGCTGTTGAATGATGGATATTTCCATCCTTTTCTTCTCTCTGAATTGCTTTTTTTTTTTTTTTTTTTTCCCCTCTCTTTTTTTTTTTTAGTGTAGCATTCTGCATCCTAAGAGGGACAATTCAGAGTCTGTGTTCAGTGTCTCTGTCCATAAAAACAAATAACTTGAGCAGGGCTGCTGTCCTGTGTGGTTTCACCATGCCAGCTCCTCGGTCTCTGCTCGGAATTTCTGTGTCAGAGGCAGCACAGTCAGCTGTGACCGCAGCAGCAATGGGCTGAGCTGGCTGCTGGGTGAATGTGCTCTGTGGATGGCTGTGAGGTAGAAGCAGGGCTACCAGAGTCCAGAACAGAGAGCATTCAGGAGAACCAAGGTTTCCCACATTCTGTGCTGTGATTTCTCTCTAGGGCTCATCTTTTTTCTTTTTTTTTCCCTCTCCAGCCAAAATTACAGTCATGTGGATGTGTCTGTGAAGCTCGATGGTGTTGCTGAGTACAACTCAGTAATGAAAGGAAGGTGCATCTGGAGTGTGAGAAGGCATGCCCACATTGATTGCTGTCTTGCTGACAAAATAAGGAAAGGGGAAGGTGAACCAGTTTTTACCACATGCAACAACCCCAGCACAGAGCTTCTGGCTGCTGCTTGCATTTGGAGCCCAGGCAGGAGCATGGTGCCCCATCAGCATGGCTGATAGGTGATTTTTGTTTCATTTCTGTAATTCTGATGCTTGGCAGTGGGCTCTTCCAGGACACCCATAAACTCTGTGCTACCAGGGTTTGGTTACATTCATTTGGTATGGCACCTGGGATTGTCTGAGTAGTTTAGAATTGTAAATAATCACCTGCAGCACAAATAAGGCCCACTCAGTGGCAGGTCCTTCTGCATGATATTCTTTGTGTCCCTTTGGGTTGGATAGAGACTCCTTGCCCACGCAGGCTTTTATTCCCCATTTCTTTGCATCTACACAGTCATTGATGGTGGCACTTTGCATCTGTTTTGCAAGGAAGTGCCCAGAAAATCAGGTTCTGTGGATGGAGTGCAAGAAGAGTAACTCTCTTCAGTGACTGCATGGAAATCCTCAAACCACTGTTGCTTTCTGGTCTCTCTGAGGGGCAGACAGAAGTGTGTGTGTGTGGCTGCTTCCTGTCCTCTGCTTTGCTCCTCTGCTTTGGCACATGACAGTCAACAGGTGTAATTGAGTGGAAGGAAGTGTGCAGCAGCAGGGCTCCCATAGAGGGCCATGTCATGCAGAACAGATGTCACTGCAGCGCTGTGCTGCCTGCCCATGCAAACCCTCGGTGTCTGGCCAAAGACCCGACTGACTCGCGAGCAGGCACAGTGCCTCCCAAACAGATGGGCAGGAGCACAGGCGGGCCAAGGACCACATGTGAATGTGAAATATGTTGGAGGCGGGCAGCGTGAGCAGCCAGGAACATTGCAGTATCTTTCACTCCTAACACCTTCACAAACATGGTGAGATCAGATGCAATTTAGAGGTGAGTTAACTCTCAGACACGAGGATGAGAGTCAGGGTCTGCAGAGTCAGGCAGAGGGGCTGCCTGGCAGGATTGGTATGAAGATTCATCATTCCTGCTTTGGCTAATGCAGAGGGGAGTGCATAGAAGAAGCCAGAATAAATGTTTGTAGCATAGTGGTATGAATCTCGTTTTGGTGATTTGCTGAACAAAGATATCGTGATGAGAAGAGATGAGCACATACCTAAATAGATTTTGGTAAGGGACAAGAGAGTAATTTAATGCAGTGCTAGAGCTGTTGTGAGTTCACAGCTGTCACAATGAATCCATTCTCTGCAATATTTCTTGTACAATTCCAAACACTGAAGTATGTTGTGACTTTTAGAAAAGTATTTACTACAGAAAGAAGTTCCGAAATTAGAAAGTGCAACTTATGGTCAATAGAAAAGGCAAACGGTGCCATAAAAGTGTTTTAAATGAAATTTAACTGGAAGAAGAAGCTCCTCACAGAAGGAAGTGCTGCTGACTTTTTCAATAGATTTCACTTCCAAATGGAAGATCGTTTTCTATGAAAAAACATTGTGTGTTTGCCATGTTTTGATCTGTTACGTTGGCAGAAAACACATAATTGCATGAAACTCGTTATATGAATTATACTAAGCTCATTATATGTATTGCAAGCATGGAAATCAAAAACCAGAATGCCAGCTCACACCCTGTGCTATCAGGAGCAGTCAGTGGACTGAATCTCTCAGCATCATTATCACTGGAGCTCTGCTGACCCCAGAGGAGGTGCTCCGACATTCACTGTCGCCACTGAGACAACTAGGCAACCCAGATTGTCACCGGTCTAAATCAAGGCAACATTCAGCCCTGGAAATACACAGGGAAGGACAAGAGGAAAGCAATGGGAGCAGTGATGAAAGTCATCCAGCAGGATAGTCTTTCATGCGAGACACCAAAATAATGATTTTCTGTTGGTTGGATGTTTTGTTATAGATCACAGAATTATAGAATCATAGAATGGTTGGGTTGGAAGGGACCTCAGAGATGATCCACTTCCAAGCCCTGCCATGGCCTGGTTGCTCTTCACCAGCTCAAGCTGTCCAGGGCCCATTGAGCCTGGCCTTGGGCACCTCCAAGGATGGGGCATGGATAATACCGAGCTCTTGGTGCAGTGCCTAACAGTGTGTCCCTCCGGGCTCCCTGTGGCACAGCACTCACAGAGCCCCAGCAGAGGAGCCAAGGATGGTGCACAGGGAATGGACACTTGCAGTTCTGCTAGTGAAGCGGTGCGGGACTCGTTTCTGTGTGTGCCCTGGGATTTACTTCCCACCAGACAGTACAGTGTACACTAGCTGACTTATCTGTGAACCATGGAAACATTTTGAAAAGGTAAAGCAGACAGTACACTGAAGAATCATTTGTCACAAGTAATTGCAGGCAGTCAGAAAGAGCAGAGAGAGTATATGAATCATGACGTAAAAACAGTGAAGGGCAGGCATTTAGTCTGGTCTGTGGCTATAAGTGCAGTGACACAGGTTAGTCCCAGCATGATATACAAATGTTATGTGCAGAGGGACAAGTACAATGAATAAAGAATTCCCGTTTTCTCATTATCTCATGCAGCAGAGAGGTTTTTTACTTCGCACATAACTCATAACTTTTAGTAGGCAGGAGATGGCTACATTGAATTAGTGGGAACATTTTGTTTCCTGAATTTAAATATTCTCTATGTGACAATTTATTTCCAGCGTAAAATCCTGGCAGAGCACACACAGAGGCAGGGAAATTAGCCCAGCTGCCACTTCAGCTGGCCAGGACTGGGATGGGGTGCAGCAGAGCCACCACCACCAGTTCACAGGCACTACTGGGCTGCTGGTAATGCTGACACACATTCAGACATCAGCACACAGCACAGGTTGGGTTTTGCAACTTTGTGGGCTGTATGCAGGATAACAACTCAAGATACAGACCATTAGAAAAATATTAGTGAGAAAAAAATAAAAACATGGCACTTTTTGCACCTTTTGCTTCATACAGCAGTGTTTCCATTCTGATGTATCACAACCCATAAAATCCATATAACTTAGATAAGGAGAGAGGGGGATTTGAGTGTCCAGTGAAACCTACCATTGAAAAAAGAACAGGTGAGAAATCATGTACAGAGATTGCTTATGAATTTGTCATGAGATGATAGGGGGGACTTCTTGAGTCTTATGTTCTTATGTCTGTCTCAGGAATTTATTATTTATGGGCAAGCACATGCATGATACATAATAACTTTTGGTTCTTCTGTAATTCTCTTCACTCGTACGTCTCAAAATGATCTGTAAATGTGGGTAGAATTATTAGCTCCATCTTAGAGGAAGAGGAACTGAGACCACCCTGTTGATCAAGAGCTGTCCCCAAGGCATGGCTGGATGGAGGTGTTCCACTGCCAAGCAGAACAGTTTTTCCAGGATGGGAACTCTTTGCACTACATTTGCATCATGGCAATACTGTGGGTTGAGACTTATGATTCACAGTCACATTTTGATTTAATCAAAGCAGTTGAGAGTTTAGAACTGCTATTTCTCCCTCACTAACAGTTGACAGTCAATATTCAGCCTAAAATAGTTGCAATAATGACCTTAAATAGCAAAAATTCACCAGGCTGTGAATGGATCAGCTTGAGCAGACACACAGCTTGGAGGCAGGAACATCTGTGGTGAGAGCTGCAGGGACAGATGCCATCAGGAACTCTTCAAAGTGTTCCAGTGTCATCCAGCAAAGGTCACAAGGCTGCAGTTTGAGTTAGTGGCACCTAAATGTGGGGAGCTTTGCAAAGGGTGGGAGCCACATCACCCAGTGCTTAACACGGCTGCTCGGTGTAAACAAGTTATACGCAATTACAGATTACACGCACCATGCAGTGGGAATTCCTTGCAACGGCTGTTCTCAGTGCGTGAAGCACTGAGGGCAGCACAAAATAACTGGCTGTTATCTTTGATGAAGCACTCAGATCCCAAAAGCTCTGCCTGCTCCCTCGTCCAAGTGCCACTCCAAAGACCCAACCATAAACGTAGATTGCATGCGTCTATAAAGCAGTGACAAAGCGGTTAACAAAGAAAAGCTTCCCAGCCTCCCCTCCTCTTCCTCCACAGCCTATCCAATAATAAGTTACACTGGGCAATGGCAATGGGAAAGGAATGGCTGCACTCGGTGTCACGGGACCTGGCGCAGTCCCTCACCTTTCCCTTTCTGCTGATGGCTGGCTGTCCCAGGGAGCCACGTGGATGATCAATACAGGCTGAAAGTTCTCATTTTCAATTGAAAGTGGGAGGGAAAGAAGTTCCCAGAAAGCTGAAATATCCTGTTTTGACATTTTCAGAGGAAAAAGTGGAAATTTCAAATGTTAAAATTACTTTTCAAATATTCAAATTCTTTATTATATTTCAATGTTGTTAAGAGATAAAAAGGTCACATTCTAAGAGGCCACATTAGAATTATTGTTTCAATTTTGTCCCAAAACCGTTTCCCACATTGTACAAATTTTCTTTCATTGAAAATTTCAGGTTTCATTTCTGATCAGAACAAAGTCAAATGGTCAGACCTCAAAGCCTGTGGTTCAGCTCTTCGGAGCCTCTGTTCTCTCTATTCTTGGAAAGACTCTCAGCTCGAGTCGGGAGAAGCCAAATGGATCCCCTGGAAGCAATCAGGAACTTGAAGGAACAAACAGTGTTCTTAAACCACGCCATGAATCAGCCTTTTCAGAATCCTCAAACAGATTTGATGCACGAAAACCTTATGCTGATGGATAAAACCAAAAGCTGGGCTATTCTCTGGCTATTTCTGCATTGGCTTTCTGTGGTGGGAGAAATCAGTACCTGCAAAAGAAAAGCAGAACTCAACTTCACAGTGACTCGAATCTCACCCTTCCCACTCTGGGTTGTCTCTATAACCTTTAGTAGTCAACTTGATTTTTTTCTTCCCATCCATCTCATGTTTCCCTTTGTTAAGCAGTGGCAGTGGCTACCTTTGAAGTGAGGAATCAAGCTCAAAATCTTACTGTTTTACAAGTGAAAAGGGAGATTTGGAATGTGATGTCTTTTTCAGCCTTAACAGTAGCATCACTGCCAGCAACTCTATAACAAGGACTGTTATACTCCCACTCCTACTTAGTGGCAGAAATTGGCCTGTTTTATGTTCCTGCTCAGTCGTTTCCATTCATCTCTGCCTGGCTTTTAATGGCCCAATCTGTACCACTCTCGTTAGTCAGTGTTTACATTCATGGTCCATTTGGGTGGAACGATTTCTCACCTGAGGATTGCACAGCCATCGTTTCTCTTAGGTTTTGTGCACTGATTTTGTTTTATGCTGAATCTGGTTATGGGTGACCCTGTGTTTCGCAAGATCAGTATGTCTAAGTGTTGTGACAACACCAGAGTGGCTGGCATGCAACAAATGGTAAGGGCAAACCCTGTATCACATCACTCTTATTACACCCTGCTTATGAAAGGGTCCCTGCTGCTCTGGTGCCATACACAGAGCACAGAGTGCTGCACTGTTCCCCCAGCACAGTGTATGCTATGGAGGAAGGTGTTACCCTCCTGTTTTTGCAGAACTCCAGGAGAAGATCAGGAAGATATGTGGAATAAAAGAACAATGAAGACTTTCTAAGCTTATATATTTATATATACATACATAGACATGTATTGTATTTGAGGAGAAGGCAAGGCTGTCAAGCACTTTACTGCTTCAGCCTCAGCTAAAGAAATGAGCTGATATTTATTTTTCTAACAAATAGCCTATTAGAGGAGATAGCTTTTGAAGGCAACTGCAAGTAACCAAAGGGTGACTGAATCAGGCACCTCGATGTGCAGGAGCCCCAGGAAATGTAACACCATTCTGTTTAAGACAAAACCTCTGTAAACAGCTGTTAATTTGATGTGTTTGGGTTTTTTTTCCTTCTGCAACTGGGATGTTTCTTTTGTTGCACTTAGTTTAAATTATGCATTTCAGCTGCTGATTTGATTGAAATTTAATAAGAGCTTTTACAGGATAATTAGATACTAAAGGATTATTAAGAATGTTTTTAAAATTTAACAGTGATACTTACTACACATCGATAAACACTCTTAAAAATCAGTTGGACTTTAATCACACAGTTTTCTCTTGAAACTCATGTTAAATCTCACTGAGCTATAATTTGACCGAACCAAGGACATACTTGAACATCTATTACTTCAAAACAGCAATTTGCCTAGCCTTGCCACTGCTCACATGGGTAGTAATACGTAGCATCCCAAGCAACACAACAGCCTGGTAGGTTGCTAAGGTGAGCTCTGCTACGTAGGTGAAAGGTGGGAAAAGTAGGCAAAGTTAAGGAAACATCATAGATGGAAATTGCTGGTGAAGCTGCCTTTGCTGTCTGAGTGCTGCCCTCTTGCAGCTAGATTAATTCCATTCATCTTCACTCCATCTCGTTTATTCCTTATTCTGAAGGCTCTTAGCACACAAAGAGGATATTGGTGTTTGATTAATCCTAATTTTGGTCTATCTTACCTCAACTAAAGGGATCAGGCTTGAGAAGTGGGTCCACATGAACCTGTATAGGCTCAACAAGGCCAAATGCAAGGTGTTGTACTTGGGTCGGGGCAGACATGGATGTGGTCAGTGGGCAAGGTGATGATGGGTTGACAGGTGGACTTGATGACCTGGATGTCTTTTCCAATCTTAATGGTTCTGTGATCCTCTGGGCTTGGTTTCCCAGGCAGTGCTGTGTTCTAATGTTTCCTATCAGAAGCTGCCTCTGGGAACAAGGCAGACTGCAAGGCCATCCTCCAACTGAACTCAAACTTTGCTGTCTGACATTCTATGCAAGTTGTGCACCATTATTTGCCCTCTGCTGGCTTGTGGCACTATCTTGGGGAAAACAAGTACTTTGCTCTTTCTAAGCTCTTCCCATGCTTACTTGTCTGCTCAGCCATGTTTCTAGTAGGCTTTATAATGCTGATAAATAATAACACTAACAAGTCATGAAGGGCCAAAGCCATTCCTGGCTTTATTCCTTCGCTGTCAGACTGGAGTCAGCTGTGCTATATTATTATCTTTTCCAAGGCTTAGTTCTTTTCTGGTAAAACTGTAAGGTGAAACTGCAGTGAATTTATTGATGTTTAATTTCAGCAAATGATCTTGTACCTACCAAAGTAAAAGGTAAAGTCCTATGAAGAGGAGTAAATCAAGCTCATAGTTGTTGATCTACTTCTCTGAGATCTGGTATTATTTTTTCAGTTGGGGCTCTGGATACCATTTGGTAAGCTTGCAAACTGTCTATAGCTCCAAATTTTGAAGTCCATGAACAAATTCCTACTCCCTTCAGTTAAGAACTTGGAGAACAGCTCCCTGTTATTACAGAGCTATTGCAGTATTTGTGAGAGGCAGAGAGAGGTACAGCGCAGGATGCCTCAGCCATCAAAAGGGTCACAAAAGACAATGAAGAAGGTTTGAAAACAGAAAATGTTATTACAGTCTGAGGCCAAATCTCTTCTAAGCCTTCAATTCTCTCATCCTTCATGCTTAAGTATTCCCTGTCAGCTCTGTAAAATACATGCACAAGTACATTACAGTGACTTATTGTTGTTACCCTTGGTACAAGGGTAGTATCTTACTATTATCTCCATGGTAGTGTTTTTATGTAGCATAAACCTCACCAGGCCAGAATAAGTGAGAATGATTGATCATGTGTGGTTGTCCCTCTGCTGCTAACGTAGCCTTGCAGCCTGCAATGCTATTTCTGTTAGCATCTTGTGGGAAAGGTTCAAGGCTTCATTATATTTCTGAGAATCACTGGATCAGAATTTGTATGGATTTGTATAAGTCATTTCAGGGTCTGAGGGGCTGCTACAAATGCAGCTGATCTGGGTTATGGTGTCTGCTTCCTCTGCAGGTTGTCAACCTTCAGCTGGGAAAGCACAACTGCTTGTATAATGAGTCATTAACCCAGCTCAGTCAGAAGTCGTCCTGAACTAAAAGTCTTTAAGCTAAACCAAATCATTTGATGGATCTGGACTAACTAATGGCTACTCAAACAGTTGCATTGGCTGCTCTAAGGAACAGCTCATGTCCAGTGGGTGCTGATGGCATAGGGAAGAGCATCTGCTACTCTCCAACTCAGAGCAGCACCTGATATCACCAAAGTTGCTCTGCCACTCACATCCTCTTCTGCACAGTGCAGAAAGCACCACCTGGTCTCAGGATGGCGTAAGGATGGGCTGGTTAGCATTTATACTGCTTGCACACAGCTGCCTGAAGGCTGTATTTATTCTGAACCAAATGCCAGGCTGTTCTTGAAGAGAAGGGATAGCCCACGGCCTGTAAGATGCACTGTCAGGCACTGCGAGGAGGGCGTATCAGAGACAACAAATGGTGGTTGTCTCTGGAACTGGGAGGATGGTCGAACGGCAGCAGGGCAAATTGGGAAGGTTTGAGCCTGCTTTACAAATGGATTTGCACATGACAAATGGTGACATTTATAAACCATTGAGGAGAGCCCTAAAATAAAGAGAATGGAGGTTGAAAACAAGGCGAGCAGGATGGAAGGGATCAGGAGGAAAAGTATTAATAGCAAACCCCTCCCCGAAATGTAGAGAAATAATAAAAGAACTCCAATAACATTCCGTTTAATGGACTATTTTTTCCCCATGACCCCTCTCAGAACATTTTGTTTAGTTCTGCTGCTTTGCTGAAGGCTGCTGTCACACAGCTGGGTTGGGCACGGCTGCAGGAGCTCTCCGAGAATTGCAGAGGCTGATCAACATTAGGCAGCAAGCTCCACAGCAAGGAACATCACTGCTCTGAAGAGGTTATTACAGAGATCAATGGATTCGTTCTGTGCATCTGGCATAAGTGTGTGGCCTTGAATAAATGCTTCAGCCAGCTGTGTGGTACACAGGGTACACGAGAAGCAAGTCTTGAGATAAACAGTTGGGTTTTCTGCTTCCTTTTGCACCTTTAAGAGGAGAACTGTAGCTAATTAATATGAAGACTAGCAGTTCTGTATAAATGCCTATACCTGTGTGCACATACACACACAATTATATTTATATATACGCATACATCCACACATACATAAAACCCTGCTAGTGTCTGGTAGTACTATTCCCTAATGAGAAAGCAAAGGAGAACTGATCACAGAAGATGAGCAAGAAGATGAAACTCCATCTTACCTCCATCCCACGCTAGGGGAAATTTCTATGGGATATAAGAAAAAGAGCTTTTACAGTAAGGGCAGTGAAGCAGTGGCACAAGGTGCCCAGAGAGGCAGTGGTGCCCCATCCCTGCAGACACCCAGGGTCAGGGATGGAAGCACTGATGGAGCTGTGGGTGTCCCTGTTCATTGCTGGGGGTTTGGACCAGATGGCCTTTAAGGATCCCTTCCAACTCAAATAATTCTATCATTCCATGAAATGCAGAATTTCTGGATTTTCAATGTTTTTAATTTTCTAACGTAAGCCTTTATTTTGATCACCACCACCATCATCCAGTAAGCATCCAGTGAACATCACAGGCAGGTAACTTATGAAGAGGGAATCACAAAATGTGCATTGAATTCTCAAGATTGTTACTGTCTAGTGTAATAACATATATACTTCTAACTGAGCATCTCCAGCTGTGACCAGGACTGCAGAAGGGCTGTTACTGACTCTGAGGCAGCACCCTTCCTTTCTACAGCTACAGTGTCTCAATGTCCCACCGTATTACAAACATTACAGACACGGTATGCGTTGGCTTGAAAAGTGACACCAAAGTCTTGGAAATATGGGGACTTTAAGCATTTTTGATTTCGTTTTAGATAGCCCCAATGCCTTGGCTCTAAGTGGGTTGT